AATTATAATAATCCAAAGTAAATGCCAAAGTTTCTTTCAAAAATGGAAATTCTTGTGTTTGAGGTTTTAGAGATACCAAAAGGATATTAAGATGTTTTGCCTAAGCAAACCACAGTGACTTCAAAATTGCTATGCCATTTATAAAAGTGTGCCTATTAATTTATATGAATTTTATTTTATTTTATTTTCATTTTTTAAAAAATATTGTATCCATTTATTCATGAGAGACACACACAGAGAGAGGCAGAGACACAGGCAGAGGAAGAAGCAGGCTCCATGCAGGGAGCCTGATGTGGGACTCGATCCTGGGTCTCCAGGATCAGGCTCTGGGCCGAAGGCGGCGCTAAACCACTGAGCCACCGGGGCTACCCAATTTATATGAATTTTAAAAGCACAATTCCACACCATTCCACTTGATTTTAGAATCTTTAAATGCCACTATGTTAATTCTTTACTGAATTCTTGGTTATGGGCCTGCAGATGGTCCGTTATTTTCATTCTCATCCCTGGATTTGTCACATAATTGTGTGTAACTTTTATTTGAAAAGGAAAAGTCAAGCTGTGAGGAACCCCCGGAAGGGCTCTTCCCTGCCAAATCTATTTGCACAGGGAAGCTGGAACATAAATGAGATGATGGCCTTGGGGTTTTTTTTCTGATAGACCCTCGTGACTCCTGTGAGCCTGTGGCCACGCCCTTGTTCCTCTTTCTGCCTTCCTTTTTCATAAGCTTTCTAGTTTGGTAATTCAGATCCTGAGAAATCTCTCAAAGGTTTTCTTTTCTACTTTGTTTTTTTTTTAAATTTTTTTTTATTTATTTATGATAGTCACACACACACACAGAGAGAGAGAGAGAGAGAGAGAGAGAGAGAGAGGCAGAGATACAGGCAGAGGGAGAAGCAGGCTCCATGCACCGGGAGCCTGATGTGGGATTCGATCCCGGGTCTCCAGGATCACGCCCTAGGCCAAAGGCAGGCGCTAAACCGCTGCGCCACCCAGGGATCCCTTCTTTTCTACTTTGTTCCAGTTTTTGATGGGCCCTATTTAACAAAAAACTTCCACCCTGGAGATATCAACAGTTTCTCACCAAAAACAGTTGAGTTGAAAATGTCATCATAAATTATCTTTAGTCAGGTCCTTATGACCTCTGTAGCGCAGTCTGAGAAATAATTGTACTAAGACAGTATTTGTGTTAATCATCTAACACTTTGAACTGATTCAGTCTTTAAAGTTTAATTTTACTTTTTTAAAGATTTTATTTATTTATTCATGAGAGATAACAGAGAGAGAGGCAGAGACACAGGCAGAGGGAGAAGCAGGCTCCATGCAGGGAGCCTGACGTGGGACTCGATCCCTGGTCTTCAGGATCACGCTCTGGGCCAAAGGCAGCGCTAAACCGCTGAGCCACTGGGCTGCCCTAATTTTACTTTTGATGGACATATTTTAGAAGCTCTAAGAAATTCTTCAGTAAATAAAAAATTATTATATTTTATTGACTTGATTGCTAATAAGTTTTCCCCATTAAAAACAGAAACCTTGGGGCACCTGGGTGGTTCAGTGGTTGAGCATCTATCTGCCTTTGGCTCAGGTGGTGATCCTGGACTCCCAGATCCAGTCATGCATCATCTTCCCACGGGGAGCCTGCTTCTCCCTCTGCTATGTCTCTGTTTCTCTCTGTGTGTCTCTTATGAGTAAATAAATAAAATCTTAAAAAAAAATAATAACAAAAAACACCCAGAACCCATGAACAATGTGGGAATGTGGGGCGCTGACCCTCCTCCCCACCCACACAGTTGCAAATCCACGTATAACTTTTGACTCTCCTCAAACTTAACCACTGATAGCCTACTGTTGAAGCCTTGCTGACAACAAGATAAAGATAACATCGATTAACACATATTTTGTGTGCATGTATATATATATAATACATAATATACATATAATATATATATTACTTACTGTATTCTCACTATCAAGTAAGCTAGAGAAAAGAAAATGTCAAGAAAATCATAAGAGAAAATGTATTTTCACTACTGCAAAATATCTTTGTACAAGTGGACCTGTGCAGTTAGAGCCCATGTTCAAGGGTCAACTATAGTTATTTTAAGGTCTATACTTCTTTTCACTAATACATTCTTTTTCTTCAACTTTAATATACAATGTAGTGGATTTCACCTACCCTTCTAGAGCAGGAATATTTGATTTCCTGATTATCACTTTGTTCTCTATTGTTCTGTTTTTATTTTAAATTCTTTCTTTTACATTTAATACCTTATATTTGATTAATAGTGCATGGTGATGAGTGATTCTCAGAGACATTCTTATTAAATTCAAGGTATTCGAATAATGCGAATGGGATCATTTGGAGTGAAATGCTGTTTTATAATTAGTGTACTCCTGACAGTCACATCTCTCTCCAGCTTCAGGTGTGGGACATGCCTTCTTCTTTGCTTCGACAGCACCTTCTACATACATTTCTTAGAGGATTTCACTCAGTATTATGTTCATTTGTCATTCTCAGAAGGTTGAATTCCTTGGAGCACTTGGGTGGCTCTGTTGGGCGACCACGTCTTGATTTTAGCCGGGTTCATGATCTCAGGGTTGTGAGAATGAGCCCCGTGTTGGGCTCTGCCCTAAGCATGGAGCCTGCTGCAGATTCTCTTTCCCTTTGCACATCCCTACTCCTGGCCCTGCTCATGTACGTGTTCTCCCTCTCTCTCTTAAAAAAAAAAAAAAAGGAAAAAAAAAGAAAAAAAAAGATTGAATGCTTTGAGAGCAGGAGCTAGGATGTTTAACTACTTGTTGAATAAAGAATGAAAGAAAGAATAAATAAAACATGGCAATTTTAGCTAGCTCTATGAGGTACCAACATATATTGGTTAGGAGCATAGACTCTGAAGCCAAAGCCACCTGTCTTCAAATCTTAATTCCATCATTTATTAGCTATATGTCCGTAGACAACTGTATGTGACATTTTGTTTTGGTCTTTCAAATATGAGGATAATTAGAGTACCCAATTCATATAGTTGTTTTAAAGATTAATTGAGGTTATATATGCAAAGTGCTCAGAACGGTGCCTTTATATAGCAAGTGCTATACAAGTGTTTGCTACTATAGCTCTTATACCCCCTTTAAGAAAATAGTCCTGGCATGGAATAGTGGATGCCTTTAGGAAATTCATTCTGGAATTCAGTTTTTCTCCCATCATCATGAAGAAGTACTTTGTCTTCACTTTGGGTTTAGGAGCCCTTGAGTATGGCAAGAGGTAGTAGAGGTCCTCAGTACATTAAAAGCTGAAAACATTTGTACCTTTATCAAGCATCAGGCTGCACAGGCTCACTTGAACTAACAAACAGCTTTTCATTTTGGTTAGAAGCCTATCAACTCAGTATAGTAACACTGTTAAGGCAGGCAGGCTCTGCTTCATCTTAATTCCAAGGGTAAAACAAATTATTAATTAACAAACATAGTTTATTTTGGTAAAATAAACTTTAACAACAGCAGTCCGTGGGAGAGATAATAAAGGGGTTTTGGATGATAAACAGAGTGGGGAAAACAGAATTTTGAAAGACTTTTGTTTGGCAACTTCTAAGATTTTATTAACTTGAATTTTTAAAAACAAGCATCCATACCAGTGTGGGGGCGAGGATAGGAGAAGAGGGCAGGGCAGGACAGGACAGCGGTTAAGAATTCTCCTCTACTGGTAATAAAGCTCCAGATCCATCCCATCCTGGAGTTCATAGTCCCCCTAAAGGCATGTTGTCTTGAAAAATCATGTGCCACTTCTTCAGGACGATATTTTTCCAACAGGTGCCATTTTGGGGCTGCAATCAAGCTCTTAAGGTCTCCCGTGATTTCATCAGTGTTTTACTTAATGAGGACCTTCTTCCCTAGCTTGTCATTACAAACAACCTTGATTATCCTGTTTGGAGCTGGAAATGCCTGGAATCCACCAATGTCACAACCTCCTTGCTCAAGGACTGATGGATCTTTGAAGTCTGGCCCTAGCATTAAACTGTTGGATGATTTTTATTCTTTGGATAAAATGATCTGATTGATTGTATCTAGCTGTTGGTCTCAGGTTTATTTATCGTTGTCTCCCTCCCACTACTTTATTATAATGAATTTCCAACATGCAGGAAAGGTAAACACTTTTACAGCGAATACCCAGAACACATTGAACATATAGATTTTACCACTAATGTTTTGCTGTATTTGTTTGATCAGGTGTCTGTACATTTACCCATTTTTCTATTCATTCCCTAATACATTTTATGTTTTTGGTTAGGTTTATTTCGATAAGAAAGTCATCATCTATGTAGGAAAAGTCGAGTTTTTCAGCCCCCAGGATACTATTACTGGTGTACACATGCATGAAGTAATAAAAAATTAACTCTTACTGGAAGGATTCTTTAAGAGTCACAGTGGGGGTAGAGGGAAAAAATGTGTGGAAAAAGCGAGTGCTTGGGAAAATAATTCAATATAACAGATAACTTTATCAAAACATCCTTCTTGATATACTTTTTTTTTAGTTTCACTTTGCAAGCTATGCAAGCTCAGTTATTGTTTCCAGTAAATGGCAACATTTATGGAGCAGAAAGGAACTAAGTTAAATAAAAAGTTGTAAGGAAAATCCTTGCAGATTGAAGTGAAAGATAAAATACATCCAAACAGCTAAGCCGTCACTTTGTGCCAACTTTACTTCCCCCCAAGCAAGTTATGGAATCTCATTGGGTGGCTTCCCTTTTCGCCCCTGGTGTAGAATCCACAGTGCTAGCTGGTCGGGAGTCCTGCCAGCAGCTCGAATAGGTCACAGGGCAAAATCTTGATTATGATTCAAAAAAAGAAGGCGTAGTCACTTTGCCTCATGAACTACGGAAACACTCACTAGAAAACTTCTCTTGGAAGGGCACGTTTCATTTGCTGTTGCCTTCTGGTGGTGTGTGTTTACTAGAAACACAGAGTTGCAGAGTCACTAATGAGCATTTATCCTTTACTTTTAGTTCGCTTCTTTAACTGAGATGGACATGGTATAATCTCCATTGAGTCAAAGGATGGCATCTAGTCCTGTGCCTCCCACCGAGGATGAACAGGTTTCCTTGGGCATCGATGATCGCCATATTTCACTGCAAGGTAATTAAGATGGGGTGGGGGGGCACCCGTAGTAACTGTGGAAACCTTACCCTCACCTTTCCATCTACTGCATTCTGTCTCTCTTAGATATTTTTCCAGTGGTAGAACCTTTCAGTGTATGTAAATGTCTTTATTGCTACCTCGGCTCTCTAAGAAAGTAAGAAATAATTGGAAGGAATTTGGTATCACGGTTTCTCACTGACTGTATGCATTTTATTTGTAGTGAAAATAGATAACGATAGTTTGCTTGGAATTGTTTGCACTTATTTTACATCTTTTTGCATAGCCTAACTTTCAAATGTACATCCTTATCTTGCCTAAAAAGAAAAGATTAGTGGTATGATCATGAGTGAATAACCTTTGAATCCTGTTAATCATATTATGCATTTATGCAGACTCAGCACTGTCTTTATATACATATATATTTTTTAAATGCTTCTTGTGGAGCTTGGCAATATTTGTTTTGTACGTTAAAAATTCATTAGTCTTTTCACCATTGTTGATAAAGTAAATCTTGGAGCTGAGTAAAGTTAGCTAGTGTAGAAGAAATAAGGCGACGCTAAGTCTTTGAAAATATTTATGAGACTATGTATTTTAAAATAATCTTTAAAATTATGTACAGGTTTTTTTTACTTATTATTTATTTGAGAGAGAGAGACAGAGAAAGAGAGTGCGGGGAGGGGAGCAGAGGAAGAAGGATAAACAGACTTCATGCTGAGTACAAAGCCTAATGTGGGGCTCCATCCTAGGACCCCAACATCATGCCCTGTGCTGAAATCAAGAGTCAGACACTAAACAACTGAGTCACTCAGATGCCCCAAGATTATGTAAACTTTTATACAATATTCTTAGAATGTTACTTAGAAGCCATAGATTTTGAGTCATTTATTTTTATTTTATTTTGTACTTTATTTTTTATTGAGTTATAAAAGACATGCAACATCTTTTTTTTTTTTTTTTTTTTTTTTAATATTTTTTATTTATTTATTTTTATTTACTTATGACAATCACACAGATAGAGAGAGAGAGAGGCAGAGACACAGGCAGAGGGAGAAGCAGGCTCCATGCACCGGGAGACTGACGTGGGATTCGATCCCGGGTCTCCAGGATCGCGCCCTGGGCCAAAGGCAGGCGCTAAACCGCTGTGCCACCCAGGGATCCCAAGACATGCAACATCTTAATTAGTTTCAGGTATACAACATAATAATTTGATATTTGTATATACTGTGAAATGATCACCACAGTAAGTCTGGTTAATATCCATTACCATATATAATTATAGATTTCTTTCCTTATGATGAGACCTTTTTATATTTGCTCTCTTAGCAATTTTCAAATACTATACAGTATTACTAGCTACAGTTACCATGCTGTACATAACTTGTATTTGAGACACTCATGATAGAGATCGCAAATGACTTTCTTTTCTGATATTTTCTTTTTTTAAAAGACTTTTATTTGACAGAGAGTTACAGCCAGAGAGCACAAGTGGGGTAGGGAGATGGGATGGCAGAGGGAGAAGGAAAAGCAGACTCCCTGCCAGGCAGGGAGCTGGACACCGGGCTTCATCACAAGACCCTGGGATCATGACCTGAGTCAAAGGCAGATACTTAACTGACTGAGCCACCTAGGCATCCCTGATATTTTCTTTTTAATTAAAAATATGTTTTGAATGATTAGTTTCTGACTTTGGGATCAAGAGCTATTCCAATAGGCTATACCTACAAGTATCAGTCTTTTAAAAACAAATATCATGTAGTTTATATAGACTAAAAACATGTAATGTGTTGAAGTAGTACTTGAGGTAAGAATTTTAAAACTTTTCAATAAGTAAATTTTTTATAGTGTTATATAGTATCCACAAGTAATTGGAATTAAATTTTCATTTAATCGGGTAGGGAATGGGTAAGATAGGTGATGGGGATTAAGGAGGGTACTTGTAGTGAGGGACTGGGTGATGTATGGAAGTGTTGAGTCACTATATTATACACCTGAAACTAATATAATACTGTATGTCAACTATACTGGAACTTAAAATTAACTTAAATTACATTGAGAAATTTTTCATTTAACTGAAAGAAAAAACCTTTTGTTCTTGATTTTCTCTGAAGTTTTGGTTGCATGTGAGTAATAATTCATGTAACCTAAAACATATCAGGAAGATAGTGCATCAATAAATAGTAAGGTAAATCTAATTTCTATTGCTAGCTGTGGCTCTTGCTAGTTCTTTGGACAAAAGGCTTTAGCTGTTTTGAGTCTTAGGTTCCTGTTATTTGAAATATGGATGGTATGCCTATGTTGCACCTGTGTTTTAAAGATGAACAATAATGCGTAATGCATGAAAAGGATCTCACTCGGTACCTGACACAGAACAGGAGTTTAATAAATGCATTTTAACTTCTTTTTTACATATTTACAGTCAAAATCTGTGTCCCAAAAGGTTTCTTATCTAGGAGTACACAGCTTGAGTAGAACAACTTAGTGTATAGAAAAAAATTATAAACCAGAGTCTGGTTTTTACTGTTTTGTTGTTGTTGTTTTGGCATTCCTATTCAATGGCTTCTCATCATATGTAAGATAGTCTAGACTTCTTGGTGTGGTTCACAGGCTCTTCTAGTCTGGTGCTCCTTCCTCAGTGCCCTCATCTCCCACCTCACTCCCATAAGCACTCTGTGCTCCAGCTATATGGCTGCCCAAAGGCCCACACTCCCCCTGCCCGTGTGCTTTTGTCCAGGCTGTCCCTCAGAGTCTCCTTGCTTCTTCCTTCCACTTGAAGAAATCCAGCTTGCCTATCCCTCATCTATCCTTTATCCATCCCAGAGTCAGCCAGTCTCAGCCTCTTCCTGAGCCCTGCCGTCTTTTTGGCTGAGAGTCATACTTCCCTCTCTTCTCCCGTAGTCCTTATTTTGCCACTTACAGTGTTATCATTTTTATATTTCATAATGTTTTCTTCCCCACTGCAGGGCACCAAGACCTCTGTGTCACAGCTCTAGCTTCCACAGCACTCTTACACACATGATCTCATTCAGTCCTCACAACCACACTGTAAGGTAGATATTTTTATCTTCAAGGTACAGAGAAGGAAGCTGTGGCTCAGGAAGATGGAATTACTTTCCCAGAGTCACACAGCTAGTGAGCAACAGAGCTGGGGTTTGACCTAGAGGATGGTTTTCTTTCCACTGCACCACACCTCTTCACATGTCAACACATGTAGACACATTTGAAGAACAATTTGAAAAAGGAATTTCCCTAACACTCTGTTTGGAAAATCTACTTAAATCTTAGCCTTATTCTAGTTAATCAATAGCAAACTTTTATATCCAGAATATGGATGGTCAACTTCAAATAACATGAATGATCTAAGGTTTGCAAGTAGCTCAAGATAATGAACAAGTTACTGAGAAATGAATAGTTTCTTATAGTGCGCTTTGAATTATACTATTTGCTTTACAGTAAGAGATAAATATGAGCTCTTTGGCAGTGGGAATGTAATATACATGCACTACCAGTGTGAATGATTTTTCTTTACAATCCATTTAGGGGAATGTGGTGTTGGATGCATTGCTCTATAGGGGGAGAGGTGGAAAGCTAATACTGTAATGTAGTCAGATTTACACCAGACAAAGACTGGTCACATTAGCCGGGTACACTCAGGGATATCAACCAAGAGGTTCCCATGACTATAGAATAATGGCTTAACTATGAAATGAATAGATCTCTCAAGGTTAAGTTCTATATGATTTTTATTTTATTTATTTATCTGAGAGAGAGAGAACAGGTGAGGGGCAGAGGGAGGGGAGAGGGAGAAGCAGATTCCCCACTGAGCAGGGAACCCAATGAGGGGTTCAATCCCAGGACCCTGGGATCATGACCTGAGCTGAAGGCAGACACTTAACCTACTGAGCCACCCAGATGTCCCTAAGTTCTATATTATTTTTAGCAGATTTAGAATTCTTTCAGCCTCAGTTAAAGAAAGGAAAAGAAAGAGAAAGACGGAAAGAAAGAGAAATAGCAAAGGAAGGAAGAGAGGGAGGGAAGGAAGAGGAAGTTATATGTATTTCTAAAGGTAACATTGGTTTTGTAGCAGGATTATTAGCTATTTGAACAAAAAATTGCTAGATGATATTATGAACCTTAGCTACTCCTAAGCAGCAAGTTGTTTGCAATAGTCTTAAAAGTAATTTGGCTTTGCACACTGTGTTACAGACTTGTATTTCACAAAATTCACATGTGCTTAATAATCCTTGGAGTAATATGAGAAAAGAGATTTTATGTGATATGAGAGGAGCAGGTTCACTGCTCATAAGGAAGTTTTTCTTTTCTAATTTCAGAACTTTTTTAGAGACAGAGACCTATTTAACTTATAATACCTACTTTATTTTAGCCAAACATATCTAAGATGAGACAATTATGCCATACTCTAACTTAGAATAATATGCTCAAGAAAAAATTAAGATGTCTGCATTGAAATGTAGTGACTCATCGTTGATATGCTATGAAAACAGATTTCCATGTGTGTAGGGCCTACAATAAATCAGGCCAAGGAAATCGGACAGTGCTTTGCTGAGAATGAGGGAGCAGGACAACAAACAAGCAACTTCATGTTTCTTTTTGTTCATCTTTTGTGTGATCTTTGAGAAAATGCCCTTATGAAGGGATTTTTGAAGGCCCATATTGTAGGGAGATATTTTATGTTCTCAGTCTATTAAGGAGCATAACATTGAAATGATTGGATTGTTGGGAACGAAAAAGAAATGGCATTTGTGAATTTGAGCAGATTAATGTAAAAATGGAACGTATCTTACTTTAGCACATTTTGTACTACTAGAGATGGTCCACATTTTAAATGAAATGATATATGAAAGATCAGGCTATGAAAATAATAGATATCTTTAAAAATTATTTGCTTTATCAAAGTGTCCATTATAGAATTTCTGTAAATATTTCCATTGGATTTGTTATCTGGCAAAATAACAGGTGCTTCCTTTCCTTTTATCCTA